ACATAATCCTGACTAGTCGACTAATCGTGGCAGCCCTAATTCCAAGTTTCTATGCAATTTTGTAGTCTTTTTATCTAATTTAGTGCTCACTTCAGATAACAGTTTCAGATTATACTGGATGATTTTACTGAATTGAATTTTGCTATTAGATGAATTTGGTTTCTCACACAATGTAAATGAGCCCAATGACTGTTTTAATAGCACTCTCAATCTTGTCTTGAAACTTGGCATAGAAACTGAACATTGAACCATTGTATTTTTTTGTTTGTTTGTTTGTTTTTTGACTGACCATTTTCTAATAACATTTAATTTTACAATAATTAATTACAAAGAATTGGGGAATGGTCAAGGAAGTGATTCCTTTTCTTCAACGCCAAGTGCCAACTCAATGCTTCTCCCACAAAAGCTGATTAAAGTTTTACTACCATTATATCCTCAATGCATATAATGCTGCATACTGAGACTTCACTGAAAAATAAAGCATCATTTCTGAGAGGTTTGACTCCATGGTATAACTTGCAACTGTATGCCTTAAAGCAGATAACTCATAAGAGGAAATGACTGAAATACTTTTGTTTGTCCTGGGAAACATTTGCTACTATGAAGTGTTTGTTACTGTTAAACACAACATTTCACTACAAACACTGTATTGGTAGTAAAAGAAATCTGCACGGGTTTGAATTGTGTCTATCTGATAAATTACACTTTGTGTATGTTAATGTGAGTTTTCTTCAAACCTTTAAGTTAGTCTTGGAGTTCCACAATGTTCTGTGGTAGGACCAGTTCTCCTTACACTGCTCATACTTGGCTTCAGTAATATAATTATAACATACTGCATGTATTTTCATTGCTTTGCAGATGATACCCAGTTATATTTATCTATGAAGCCAGATGACACAAATCAAACTATTGGCATGCTTAAAGACATAAAGATGTCAGTAATTTTCTAGTCTTTGATTCAGACAAAACTAAAGTTTTTATACTAAAACCCTAAAACCTGGTTGTCATGTTTGGTCATGATATGTCTTTCAAGACACATAATACATAAATAAGTTGGACTTCTTTCTTTCATGTGTGCAGTATCTCTGAAATTAGATAATGTCTTATTTTTTTTTAATTTCCATGTTTCAAATCTGAGACAAGGGTGAACACTGTGTCCACAGTTATTAGTAGACATCTGGGAAATTTAATGGAACACAGTTATCATGAACTTTTGCTAAGCATTTACTGTGACTGAATTTTTTTTTATACAGGGTCAAGTCCAAAAGCTTTTTGTATTTCAACGGATAAATTATTAAGTCTATGGAGATGTTTAAAGACAGTAAGAATCTGTAATTTACTCTGTGTGTGTGTGTGTGTGTGTGTGTGTGTGTGCATTAGAGGGTCTGCGGCTTATCTTTACAAATAAGATGCTGGATGAAGACTTCAAACCGCTTTGTGAATATGGAATTCAACACATGTCATTCATCCAAGTAGTGCTAAGGCTTCCTGGAGGACGATGTCTGCCTACAGCGCAGTGCAGTGGGTTTGGTGACAGGACAGGCAAAATCCAAAGTATGGAAAGTCTCTCTGAGTTTTAAATCCTTTTAATAAGCTCTGATATTTGGTTTCTTAATCATCCAATTTTATTTACCCACCTGCTTTGACGTGGCAGGTAAATTGGGGACGATATTGGGCAGAAAAATGTTGATTCATTGACTCATGCTGTGGGAGTCATCCCACAGCATTGAGGATAAAAATGTGCTAAAAGCTTATTTATAAAGATTTTGTTTACGGTTACATACTCTGTCAGCTGTTTAAAGCAACCTTGCTCTGTTGCTTTTAATTTGTTCAGGCAGGAAAATGGTGTACATGAGAAGGACTAGTGAGATGTTTGGTATCAATGGCACTATAATTTGGGTTACTGTCATCAGTGTCTTGTTCTTCTTCTTCTTCAGGTACCTTTAATTACCATTTCCAGTGGCGCAAGGAGCACAGCAAGCCTGAAAGACAACTGAATGAAACTGGGAAAATCTACAAGGTCAAAATTGTTGGAATAAGGGGTGTTGTGAAGTTGATCGATCTGTGCAACACTGAGGAGCAATTTAGGAGCATGACGGTGAAACGTCTGAAGGACAAGATAAGGCAGATTTTTCCATCTATGTCAGGTAAAAGCAATGAGAAAAGAAAACTGACACAATTTGCAGTCACTGGATATTCTCATGCTAGCAAAGAGAATTACATTTCTTGGGATTTCTTGATGAGCAAGCCTCTTCAATAAAATTCATCACCCCATTGAAGATCATAACCCGCCGTTATCTTCCTAATTGCACTGTACCAGGGGTGTTGAACTCCAGGTCTCAAGGGCTGGTTTCCTGCAGGTTTTAGATCTCACCCTGGGTCAGCATACCTGAATCTAATGATTAGTTCATTACCAGGACTCTGGAGAACTTCAAGACATGTTGAGGAGGTAATTTAGCCATTTAATTTAGCTGTGTTGGATCAAGGACCCATCTAAGACCTGCAGGACACCGGCCCTCAAGGCCTGGAGTTCGACCCCTGTGCCCTATACCAACACAGAGTGGAGCAGCTACCTGAATGCTCCAACAGAGGCCGATTATCTTGTTAATAACTTTGCCTCCTCACTACGTATGAC